AAATTATTAAAATTATATTTTATTTGATTAATATTTGTAATTTTTTTAAATAAATACCTATGGTGTTTTAAAATATTAGTATATAAATTGATTTTAATTTATTAAATAATAAATATTAATTGTTCTATTAGTTATTACTTGTTTTTAACAGTTAAAATCAAACAAAAATCAATATTTTTTAACACAATTTTAATGGTTTTAACAAAGAAAATTAATAGCAATAGCAACACCCGAATGTATAATATCCTTGCGTTTCACATGTTGTTGCTTTTGGTAAAAATCAACATTCATTTTCTGGTACTTTACTATTTATTTGCATTTTGTCTTTTTTCTGTTGGTCCTTGGATTTAAATTTAAATAACTTCCGATCATTTTTAGCTAATTGTTATTTTGTTTGTTGGTTTAAGTCCTATGAAATATATCCATCTCTCTCTATCAAAATAAAAATAAAAAAAAAAACAAAAAAAGAAATAAAAAATTAAAAAGAGAGAAAAATACTAAAAACATAAAATTTGAAGACTATTAAACACTTTCACAAAATGGTTTGCTTGTTTGCTTGCTTGTCAATTTATTCCTTGATTTTAAAATATGCTATCGTGGTATTTACGGAATTTGTTGAGTGCAAACTATTCTTTATATTAAACTATATTTTCAGATTTTAAATCTCTTGTCTATTAATAATGATTCATTTTATCATCCATATCTTGAAAAAATATCTATCATCTTTTAAATTCTCTAATATTCAAATAATGATGATGATGATGATGATGATTCACTTTACCATTATTCAAATAGTCGATGCTTCTAAAATTTTCAATTCTTACACAATTTTTAATTTTCATATTATTTGAATCATAAGGGGGTGACCATCTCCATAAAAGATAAAATAAATGTTTAAGGTCTCTTGTCCATTTCTATGATACAAGTCAAAGACCAAAATCCAAGTTGTAAGTCAAGGTCTCTGCCTTTGTTGTTCATGTTAATTATAAGTTAAAGTCTTCGTCATCCATAACACGAACAATATTTTTTTCAGTATTAAAAATAAAATTTAATAATTTTACAATTTATTTTGGTTG